ATATATATTAATTGATTTCAGAGAGGAAGGGAAGAGGTAGATAGAAACATCAATGATGAGAGAGAATCAATGACGATGGGCTGCCTCCTGCACACCCCTCACACTGGGGATCGAGCCCACAACACGGGCATTTGCCCTGACTGGGAATCGAACCATGACCACCTGTTCATAGGTTGACACAACCACTGAGCCACGCCGGTTGGACTAGGTGGCAGTCTTAGCTTCCAGTTCACTGGAATCGTTGTGTTGCGGTTAAATCATTTCTCCCTGTTGTGGATTGAATTTGTGTTCCGAAAACTCATGTCCATCCAGAACCTCGGAATGTGACCGTACTTGGAAATGAAATATTAGTGGATGTAAATCAAATGACTGGAGTCTTATAAGAAGGTCATGTGAAGACACAGGGAAGAAGGCCAGTGAAGTGGGGCAGGCACTGCAGTGATGCTGTACAAGCCAAGGCAGGTCCAGGACTGCTGGCAGCAGCAGCAGCAGCTAAGTGTCGTTCTCTGAGACCCCTCTGTCTTCCGTGCGGGCCAAAGAGGAGAGCTGAATGGAGACTGGAATCACCACCCCTGCACCTTTCAAGTTCTTGTTGGTGACACTCTCTCTGCAATCCCTCCAGGGACGTGGCATTGCTTTCGATTGACCATTTCCTACGTAGAGGCAGTTCTAGTGACTTCCACGTGGCCTTCTATACCCTGACACCCCTCACCCCAGATGTCAAGGAACCAATGTGGGGAGTCTGCCAGTTCCTGGGGACACACCTACCTCTAGGATGTGTTCAGGGACCCACTGGACACACTGTGAGATCGACCTGAGCTAAAATGCCATTGATCACCTGACCTCCACAGGTTTCCACCCTGACCGGGGGACCACAATGATGCTGTGGGTCTCCTAGATTTAATGTCAATTTAGAGCCAGTGTCGAGTAATCCCTGAACGTCTGGTCATTTCCTTTTCCCCAGAGCAGTCCCCCGGGGGAAGGCTGGGAGACACCTTATAGCAGTGGTTCTCAACCTTCCTAATGCCGCGACCCTTTAATACAGTTCCTCATGTTGTGGTGACCCCCAAACATCAAATTATTTTCGTTGCTACTTCATAACTGTAATTTTGCTACTGTTATGAATCATAATGGAAATATCTGATATGCAGGATGTATTTTCATTGTTACAAATTGAACATAATTAAAGCATAGTGATTCATCACAAAAACAACATGTAATTATATATGTGTTTTCCAATGGTCTTAGGCGACCCCTGTAAAAGGGTCGTTCGACCCCCAAAGGGGTCGCGACTCACAGGTTGAGAACCCCTGCATTACAGCATATGTTTTCAGTGTTGCAGGGTCCTTCCTCAAGGGGACCCAAGCCCCCTTCATTCAAGGGGTTCTGAGTCTGTAAACTGGCTTAAGCCTGGGCGTTGATGGAGGGGCCATAATTCTCTGTTTTGGTGATTCAAGAGACTTGCATTCACTCGACCTAGGACTCTTCTGTTCCTCCCGATCAAATAGGAATTGAGTAGAAAATCCACTTCTTTCTTCCCAAGGGAATACCATGACCAACTAGCCAAAGCCGAAGCTCTCTGCAAGTCAAACCATCTGACTTCTTCTGTGTTGCCTCTGCTGCCCATGATGCTAAGCACAGCCAGCTTGTCTTTGATGGTTAAGGGCCACCACTTGGGCCCTGCCACTCTGGAACTGTTACCCCCATTGTATTTAGGGATACCAGTCAAGTGGCACTATTTCCCACTGTCATTTCTGACCTATAGCGATGTGACTCAGAGCGCTGCAGTGAGGCGGGGCTCCCCTCCCTAATTTACTTCTCAATCATGATGAAAGTTGTGTCTTCTGGACCCTGGCAGGGTGTGTGAGCAGATCTCGCATGCTACATCCATTCTAACATTCCGGTCTCCCTCAGTAAGCCTTTACATGTCTTCCTCTAGTGTCCCAAGGCAGTTCCTGCACGTCACCTTCAGCGTAGATAGACCACCATTTAAAAATATACACACATATATATTGATTTCAGAGAGGAAGGGAGAGGGGGAGATAGAAACATCAATCATGAGAGAGAATAATCATTGATCGGCCGCCTCCTGCACACCCCCGACCGGGGATCGAGCCCACAACCCAGGCATGTGCCCTGACCAGGAATTGAACCATGACCTCCTGGTTCATAGGTCGACGCTCAACCACTGAGCCAGGCCAGCCGGGCAGATAGACCACCTTGTCATCTGTCTCAGCCAACCACCGAGCACAGTGTTCCAGTTCTTTCTAACTCCTCATGCTTAGTCCATCATTCCAGAACCTCTGCTCCCTGGGCCTGTACGAACACGTTCAGACTGATCTTTCTGTTCCTTCCACCAGCACCCCACACCCTCATATCCATTCCCACGCACACCCCGATTTTTGTCTGGATGAACCTGAGAAACCACATTGTTCTTTTGGTGTCCCTGTGTGGTACAACTCCTCGCACCTCACCCTTGGAGGCCTGCTGGGACTCCAGTCGGGTTATAGGACTAGAAACCAAGAGGGGTGGGGTGGGAGTAGGTCCTGAGAAGAATTAGTGTCGAGGTAGGTACCGGGGGAGCCGGTTACAGTTCTTCATACACAGGGTCAATTAACTTCCTTAGAAACAGGTATCAAGGCTGGCTCCTAGGACAGACTCCCAGAAGCTCTCCCTTGTCAGGCTGTAGACAGGTGTGGCTTCTCGCCTCCCTTTTGGCTACAGACAGAATATTTATCTCCGTGGTTATCACGTAAAATGTCATTCTAACCAAGAACCTGCTTGCTACTTAGAATGCCAACTACTGACTGCATTTTCCCGGGGCCCCTCACAGGAAGGAGGCTGCGGACCCGGCCACACCCCCTTCAGGCCCATCACGCATATTAAAGACCCAAAGCCACAGGGAAGAAGCCTGCGAACTTGGCTGCACCTGAGGTTCCCAAATGACCATGAGCTCACTTTGGGGAGTGTTTCTTCTGTAGAACTAAGACTAAAACCAACAAACATCTTGGAAGCTGCAAACTTAATCAGCTGCTACGTTGGCCTGAGCTGAAATTTGGGAGTTTTTGGTTCATTCTTAGCTATTTAATTGCTACTTAATAATGAAGATCCAGCCCTGAGTGGAGTGGCTCAGTTGGCTAGAGCTCTGGAAGGTTGCCAGTTCAATTCCTGGTCAGGGCACACACCCAGGTTGTGGGTTTGAGCCCTGGTCAGGGTATACAGGCAACCCAGTCAATGTTTCTCTCTTCCTCAATAAGTAAAAAATATATATATTTAAAGTAGCTTTATCTATGAAAAATAATGAAGATCGAAACCAATCATTTTCTAAGTATTAATAGAACGCAGTGCCTTATTAGACGACATTTAGTAACTGTTGAGGAAGATTGACATTTCTGCCACGTCCCCCACCTGTCAGCTGTCTTAAACCTTAATTGTGGTCTGAAGGTTCTCCCCCCGTCCTAGTGGGGCTTGGGCCAATCTGAACACTTGTCAGCTGTTCCCAGAAGCACCTTCCTGGGACTATTTTGGGTCCATGGAATCTGGAGTTTAATCCTCACAACCTGACACCACAGGGAGAGAGGCCCCACCCCTTTAGCAAGAAGACATGGGTGCCCCCATGGTCTCGGGTTCCAGGCCCCTCCTTTGAAATGAACTGCTTTTCCATCCAAGACTTACAAGGGGGCTTGGCGTGGCATGAGACCGGGAGCCGTGCTGCTGCTAAGGGAAGGAAGGAATCCTGTCCTCCTCATGCTGAGCGGGCGAGAGGAGAGTGTGCACAACTGCCGAGAGGAGATGCCTAACGCCACCGACGTGAGGTTTGGGGAATGAAACTTGGGTGGGTTTGTGTGTCAGCCAGCACCATTTAAATCCAGGAATGTGGGCAAACACAAGTCTGTTCTTAGTAAATTAAGACTTTCATGGCCTGACATTATCATTTTTCATCAGTGCCAATAGTCCTTTTCTAAAAAGCAGCAGACACTCAGGTTACTTAAAAAGTCAGGATCTCAACTGCTGACCATCCAGTGGCCCCGGGCACGGAGGGAACGGCTAAGACTCTGCCAGGATCAGTCATAGCAAAACTTTATTGAACAGAAAACCCAGCAAAGGTTCCCACCTCTGCACAGTTGCAAGGAAAGCAATGCATTTAAAAAGCAATTATACAGAAGTCTCTCCTAGAAAAGTCCTGCTAAAACATGTCTAGCAATTCATT